ATCAATGAACAAATTTAGGACAGGAAAATTCTGCCAGTGAGAACATGAAATTCTCCACTTTTCCTCCTGTGCATTAAAATTTAACAACACAGTAACATTTCTAGGTCAAGACTGTAGATACAGAACTAGAACTTCTTTTGGAACCAGAAAGTGAGTAATTCCAACTGTCTCTATAACGTCTTTAAAGTATTCCTTTTAATTTTCTTTTAAGTTTTAATTTAAAAAATATGCTCCATCCATTTCTGAAAAATAGATTAGTGGTGTAATCAGATTCAGAGCCTAAAATGCAAAGCATATGCTCTCTGTTCAAAAGGTTGCTCTCATTTCAAACTAATGTCAAAACTTTGCTATTTAGAAAGTAAATTTCAAAAACGTTTGGTTTCTATTCATATATACACAGCCAGCTCTCCAAAGGACAGTTAAACAAAAAGACAATGAGAACATTCACCAAAAAAAATCCAGTTTAGGATGTAAGCATTACTTCTTAGTATCAAATACATAAACAGTTTGCAGTATCTATTAATTTTCAAATGCTTTATAAACTTCATTAGATTAACAACATATTCTAGGAAATATCTCTGTCTCTTTAAAAAGTGGGACATGATCCTGATCACCATAATGCTAAAACAGTATTTTTCTTCTATATTTCAGTTTGCTTTTAAGATTTTCTAAATATAAGCATCTATAAATCATATTCAGCACAGAAAGAACTGTGGTCTGTTTTCTAGTATTTTTAACATTAAAGAGGTGATATTAGTTAGAGCGGCCATCCAGTAGCTAAAAGGTGCCTACAAGAAATCTGGAGAGGGCCTTTTTACAAAGCATACAGGTATAAGACAAGGGGGAATGGCTTTAAACTGAAAAAGGGTAGATTTAGATTAAATATTAGGAAGAAATTCTTTACTGTGAGTGATGAGACACAGGGAGACTGTGCTCCTCAGACTTGCTCTTTGACTGAAGTATGTTATCAGCTTGCTTAGAGACATACAAATAAAAATATAATTTCTTGAATTCGTACTGATCTGTCTTTTGGAGCAGTAGCAGCAATAACCAGCACTTCAAGGCAGTCTCCTACTGCCCAGTGCTAGTTCAGCACTGGTGCTCTCCTGTATGCTAACGTACTCCTGGATTCCTTTATCCAAAGGGAAGAATTCTCTGGCTTCTGTCTACAGAAAAAACAGGTGCTGCCTATGCCACTCAGTTTCTTTTGATACAGAATTGCTTCAGTAGTTTTTCTTCTAACTCACTACTTCCAGGATGTACTGAATAGTTTATCCTTCTGATGCAGCTGAGGTACCAGCAACTCAACCCATGTTTTTTCCTATGTATTGCTATGCTACGAGTTAAATTTACCCTGCTGATACAGTGGATACACCTTGTGTACAAATTGTCCACAGTCCCTTTATAGTCAAGGGCAGGAAATGGGCATTTGCTGGCTGGTGTATTTTAGAAGCCTTTATTAGGACAAAATGAATTATACTCTAAAATTGTCCCTTCTATTGGTCTAAGAAGTTAAATGTATTGGTCTAAGAAGCTAAATGACAAGTAGAGGCTCTCTAGATGTGATAAAGCAAATCCTGTCCATTGTGTGTGCATATTCATATTCTAACTGAGCAGTAAGCTTAACAGTTCAGAGCAAGAATTATTAGATAGCCAATTTTATAGTCATTTTATATTACATCATGAGTAAATACGTTACATATTAATTAGCCTAAATATTTATTATGTCCTCACATAATTCACTTTCTACTGTAGTACCTCAAAAAATCTGAGCCTGACAGAATTTGCGCAGACAGGACAGATGAGGCTTCTGCAAAACCCAAATTATGTTCATTCTCTTCGACAGCTCACCACATGCTCTGGTTCAGCACCGGGAGAGCCCTCGACAGACTCAGTGACTAGGGTGCTGGCTCTCAGATGGCTTTTATTCTATTAAATGCCGCTTGTTTGTCGAATATCCTCCAGCACTCTCCTCCAGTATTACTAGACTATCTAAGCACTGACCATACTGAACCGAACTCTTTCAATACCCAACAGAGCTGCACTTCACTATGGGATTTTAAGATTCAGAAACAAACAAATAATTTCTTCAGATGTCAAACAGCCCTAATGCAGAGGCAGTAATAAACTCAGACTTCTGAGCATCTTGTCCAGTATTAAGATAGTGGTTCCTCTGCAATCCCTTGCTGTTGGTCTCAGTATGTGAGTTGTACCATGACCCATTAGGGACTCCCCATTGCTCCAGGTCAGCAGAAATACAATACTGACTACTATTTCTTCCCCTTACATCTTCATACTTGTATTATATACAGAACCTCCACAGCACAATGACTAACCAGTTTTTATTTTCATTTTTACATGTTATGCAATTGAAAGATATCAGGGGCCACTTTTGTTTAAAATAAGAAGTTTTCAGTATTGGGCTGTTTCAGATTCTTACATTATTACGTACGGAGGAATACAATGTATGGTTCTATGAGATGAATGTTTGATATCCCTGTGTAATACGCAACTGCAGTTATCCCAACTGTGTGTCCAGCACAGGCATTTCAATCACTACTACCATTTCCTTTGAAATACCCAGTTTCCCGATATACTTACACCTCCCCATCTCCCAGCTTATTTCCAGATCTTATAAATATTAACTGGAAAAGGAACAGTACTCTGTTTTGTGCACTCACACTTTGTTATCTTCCAGTTACACGTGATAAATGGCTAGTTGAGAAGCTGACAAGTAACTGTCAGTCCTTATTGTAGTTTTTTCTTTCAGCAGTGGCAATAATCTGAGTTGCTTTCCTCTACGGAGGTTTCGGTTTCCATGAAACTTGCCAAAGGTTTTGATCTCAAAATGTCTACTGTTCCGTTGGATTTGGTTTAAATTAGCAAATAAGTATGAAAATGAAGTCAAGGAAGCACAAAGACTGTTGAAGGACAGATGAGGATAAAACCAGACAATATATTGCCCACTTTGGCAGAAAATAAAACCAAATTAAATCCAAACCAAAACAAAACTATTGTTGTTTTAGGCAAATTTGTGACTTGGAAGTATCTGAAGAGCTGTTTATTGGAAGCATTTGAGTTATTCTTTTTTTGAGCAACAAAACAAACATTCATCATCACTAACCCGTACATTTCAGATAAATAAGAAAACACTAGTTTATGGATTACAGTAAATAAAAGATCAAGAACAGAAGGCTAATTTTATAGCAGCACATATAAGCACAATGAATTAGCACACCAGGACATGCTGATAATATTTCACACCAGCAATATAATTACTATAAGTTAGCAATATCCCCTTTTCATTGCCTCTATTCCTGGATAACGGGGTACAGTACAATCATTTTTTACTCTTTCATTCTTTTGTTGCTAGAGAATCCTAGTGGCAGAAGAAAGCTTGCTAAGATTTTTTTGATAAAAAACTTGAACATTTTACATAATATGTCTGACAAGTGCAATTATAATAAAAATCTTCAGTTTACAAGAGACTAAGATTGAAGGCTGCATTTTTACAGATTAAACTGATTATCCTCATTCATCTCTTTCAGTATTTCTTCTTGAAGCACCTAATTTATAAAGCCGAGTTAAACAGCATAATTTTGAGATGTGCAGTTCTGGGCCTCACATACGTGTTTAACCATGTATTCAGAAAACCCCTGTATGCGAATTTTACAGAACTTTACAGATCACGTTTGGTTTTGAAGGTAGCAGCACAAATCATACATCTGGCTCAGCTATAGTTTTCTTTAGGGCACTACACACTACCTTTGCAATCCCATTCTGAAGGAGGAATATAGCTCAACTGTCACTGCCAAACCTCAGCCTAAAACTGGATGTATCGGAATTGACTAGGACTATAGGATTACACACATTTTTGTACAAGAACACTGTTCAGTCATTCTGTTCTCTGTCAGCAAGCAGTAGCCCATGAGAGATTTTCTTGGATGAAGACAATAGTTTGAAAAGATTTAATTAAGCTTAATTAAGCCATCCTTTCTATCAACAGTTGTGGTGTAGGAAATTTAATTATGATATTTGTGTGGAAACAGTGTTTCAGTCCCATAAAAGTAGTCACAACTGTATTACTCTCTAAAATAAACTGTTCTATCAAAATTACAAAGACAGCTCTAAAGTAATTCAAAGACCATGCATCATTTTCTACTGTCTTTTATTAATGAAATCTATCAATAGTCCTCTCATGAAACATTTTAGTAATAAAAGATGCAAAATAGTAGGCATTTCCTTTCACTTTGAGCCTTCAGCAATTACAGTCTTATCAGATATGGGGTTTATTGTACCATGTTTTGGTTAAGCAGTATGAACTGTAATGCATAAGAACAGACTAATAAGTTTTGAACTTTCCTTATCATAATGAAAGTTTCTCTCCATTTTTTTACTCTGCTTGCATGGCTCTTATCTGAAAAAGGAGAGAGGCCCTTCAGAAATAGAGAGTGGATTACAACATCATCAAAAATTGTTTGTTTGGAATGTCTTTTAGAGGTGAAGAGAGAAGAGTTACATAGTTTTTAGTCCCCTCTCCTAGTCAATTATCAGCTGCTCTGATAAAGCAAACCCAAAATGTCTGCTTAGTATTATACAGCTTTTTCTACACGACATGCCAGGGAAAAAAGAACTTGTAAGGAGTCAACTGTTGCCACCCGAAATCGCACCAATGTAGTCTTCATTCAGCTTACTATTTTAAAGCCAAAACTTAGTAAGCCCACCTGTTCTCCTTCTCCTTATCATCGTAAGAAGAAAGAATAAAACTAAATACCCAACTATTTCCTAAAGCGTATCTTAATGACAAAATAGAATTCCTAGCAACTACCAGGATATTTTAACATAACAAGAAATTGACATGCCAGTACTATAACTGGTTAAACTCAGCAGCTAGGATTTCTACATAGACATCGCATGCTTCATAATAGCTCCAATACTGAAATTACTTTTTCAAAAATATGTTAAATTAAGAAAAGTCAACAGAAAAAGGAAGAATTTACCAGCGTTCTATATGAAGCGTTGAGAAAGTCCGTGAGGCAGCTTCTCTGGTTAGAAGTTTAAATCCGCACTGCGTGTCCCTGATCTTTTTGACACAGAGAAACCATACAAGGAAGTGGAACCCATACATTAGAATAGTTCGAAAGTAAGAGCGCTGTGGACAAAAACCAAGAAGTTAGATGGTTGCATTTAGGTGATGAGTGAAGTATTTGAGCAAAGCTGGCTTACAGGACAGTAATTCTGTTTCGTGATAGCTTTCACAGTTTGTAAATGGTTTTGTTTTGCACTGGAGTGAAACCAGAATTTTTCAATTGTTACAGTGAAACAAAATTACAGCTGAAAAGGAAAGACTTGCTAGTCAAGTGCATGGTTAGTGTGCTGGCTCACGATATGAAAAGTCCAAGTTCTTTTTTACTGCTTTCCCTAATTCAGTGCAGCTTTCCATTCCAGATAATGCCTTACCAAGTGGAGCAGGAACCTGCACCTGGATTTCAATTAATTAGTGGGACACCCATGGTATCTTCTGCATGATTCTCTGGGAATTCCCCCAGTAAGAGTGAAGGAGGAGGGGGAATGGCATGCTACATGCTCTACTCCACTGGACACTTACAAGCTATTTTGCTTCCTCTGTCTAGTCCTCTTCTTTTCCTAAAACTTGGTTGAACAGGTCCAGCAAACTCAGAACTTACGATGGCAAACAATGGAGAGTAAACCAGCAGGACTGCACAAAGACTGCTACTCCTAAGAACACACACTAAAAAGGTTCCAGATGCTACTTTGACACAAAAGTAATAATAAACCCAAGTTTTATAATATTAAAAAACCCAGCAAATGGGACCATCTCTTCTTGTTTGCTACCCACTTCTTTCATTCAAGACTGAATGATTTCCAGAGCTTGCATACATTGTGTTAAGGCACCTTAGGAAATGCAGTGAGAATGAACTTTTTTGTGCCGTATATGATGGCCCAAGTAAATAACAGGACTGAAGTAACAGCTGCTGTGCAAGACAGTATTAATATTTCCATCAATGTTACACAGTCACCTCTTTTGGTCTTTTACTTTCACAAATATATTTTACGTTGCTGGCAAATGTTTTCCCAGCCTACTCTTTGGTTATACTTTTGTTCTTGACATAATAATCATACAGACAAGTTTGTACATGGAATCCAAACGCATCCAAACCTCTGGGTTTGCAGAGGTCCCTACTAGTCTTTTATTCCAGACAGCTCCTAAACAACTAGATCCACAAATTGCTTCTGAACTCACTGCTGGTCTTAACCTCAATTTAAGTGATTGCATTTAAGAATGCAAGCCAAATACTATACAAAATCTTTAGGAGCCAACAATTTAACTGGTAAGCATCTCTGGGCAATAAGAGATGCCTTTAAAGCTAGTATTTTCAAATCTCGCTTGAAAAATGGGAAGATGCTTAGCTTACGATGTAATAGCCTCTGGCTTAAGGAAATTCAAAGTCATGGCTTGTGCCTCTCAAAAAATGGTCCAGTGTGGATTCTTTGGCTCTTTTGGCGAAGGCGAACCAGGGTGTGACCAAGAACACAAGGCTACTAGCCCCAAAAGTGAAGCTCTAAGAGACTGCATGACTGCCAGCCAGTGAAACTGTGCACTTACTCTACAAAGAAATATTCCTGGATTATATTTATCACTCCTATGTCTTTATGCATGTCATACTATGAATTCATTAAAGTAATTACCAATTCTAGAGGCAGAACACAATTCTTGATCTCGAGACTGAATTTAAGGTTGAAATTCTGGTCTCTAAAAAACCCCATACAGCTGCTTACCACATCTTCATTCTACTATTTCAGATGCCACTAAGCCCAGAGAGAAATCTCCACTTCTTGAAGATTGTTCTGCAATTTTTTTTATACCTACTACACTACAAAATAGTCTCTTCCCAATGTAGTAAACGCGGTCTTTCCTTTCCAGTCGAGGGACAACTGGGTGATGAAATGAAATGGGCTACAATTAGTAGCCCGTTCTGACTGTATCAGAAAGTCAGAAATGTGGGAAGAAACAGGAAGCAAAAGATGGATACAACCTAAAAATTGTACTTGTGCGTTAAAAGATAAAGTCCTGTTCCAATTCCTCTCCCTCATGTAGCAAGACCTTCAAACATGAAAAGAAATAGGAATCACTAAAGAGAGTTTATCTATATTCAGTACCTGACCACACAAGCATATTTTTCTGGGCTCAAACTTATCAGCTACATGATCTCCCTGTAGTAGCAATATGTCCAGAATACACTGCCTACACAGGTAACAAGTAACTGCAAATGGTATATTCTCTGTGCTACAAGCAGTCAAGTAGCATGTCAAAGATTTACTGTAATTTCTAATAATGATGAAGGTTTAGGATTTTTTTGTTTTGTTTGGACACTAACATACCCACAGCAGTGTTTACAAGAACTCTTTCCAGTGAGCCACTCCAATATTACCTGGTAAGCCAGAAGAAAGAAATTAAAGATCTACCAGTGGCTGAAGATTACCAGTGTAACTTCTTTTGAACTTTTGGAACTATTTTAGTAGCTGTGTATCTATTTTAGAATCATTTCAAGTATTAAACGTCAGTGTAAACAAAGCTTACTCTTGAGAACATTCAAAATGATGAGCACATCCAATGATGCTGAAAAAATGAGTGCAGCAATGCGTCTGCTGCAATACAAGTTCCATGCCTGTGCTTTGTCAACTACTGTCTGCCAAGACATCAGAAAACCAGATGCAAGATAAGACTGTGAGCCTACACACCACTGTTTATTCCACAAAACCCACACGCAGAATAGTGCTGTCTGTGTGTTCAAAACTCAAAAATTTTACTATGAGTAACGTGGAAAAAATACAGCACTTGCCCACGAACTGAGATACTCTTCAAAGAGTTTGTTGCTAATTATGCCTAACTCATTTGAAATAGGTTTCAGGATCTGCAGTTCAAGCTCTTGCACTGGAAGGGGATCAATAAAAATGAACTCATCACTTGCATTCCGCTCCAGCCCCAGTACTGCACCCAGATACCAATTCTGTCAAGGATTAGAAGCTCTGTTTATAAGATGTTCTGAACTAGGAAAATTAAATCCATAAATTGGAACACTAACCCAAACCAGTTCAAAGTGCCTAGAAATCAAGGCACATATACAGGCATATGCATCCTTCGTATATGATGGAGCACACGCTACACTTACGAAAACAATTGAAAAACTTATGAAAAGCTTTTCCTAATTTTTAGTTTCCATTCTTTTACAAATACGGATTATTTAATTGTAAAATATGCAGGACAGCATGAAATAATGGAAGTATTTGAGTATTAGTACACAACAGGAAATGGAAACAAACCTTTGCTACTGAGTCCTTCTCCAGGTGAGCTCTAGAGCCACAGGAAATAGCCATTTCATTCTGCACAGGAATACAAATTAAAGAGTTATTACTTAAACTAACATTTTCTAAATCAGTAGAATCTTGTGTTGAGAACTGTATAATAAAAAACTTCAAAGCAGTATACTTTTCTGCCTCCTTAGCTGCACTTTTTCTACTGCTCATTATTGAGGCTAAAATCAGTCTTTTCTACAATTAAATAGGTCATCTAAAATTTATTACATTTTGCATATGCTGCATAGAGATTGCTGCAATTTATTCAAGTCTGGTTTAGCTTACATTGTTCCTCTGAGGTATGCATACTGTTAATGTGTTAAACAGCACAGATAAGCATTCAGCATTCCTAGGCACTCAGTGTTATAATATATGTTTTCCCTAAATATTGTACTGTGGCAGGGACAACAGAATAAACTACTTGGTGCACTGACGTACCTTCACACAAATAAAATGCCATGGTATTAGCCAAAAATACCATCTCAAATTAATCAAAAGATGTGATCAAAATGAAAGGTTTAAAATTATTCTCACGCTACTGCTCCTCACGTGAAATCTCTCCAATCTAGTGTATTTGAGAGTGCAGGACTGATACTGGAGAAGCAGCAACTGCTGCCGCCGCTTTGGTAGCAGACAGCATCAGCCAAATACCGCCGCCCCGTGGCTGCCGCGCTGTGGTCCTGCACTCACAGAGCACGAAGCATCCCTCGCAGCTCCTGCTGCAAGGCTGCACACTGCTTCTAGCACCTCGGGAAACTAGCTACAAGAACCTCACTCATCTGCATTTAAGCAGAAAATAAGCCTCAGCTCTTTCAAGTCAAGCACCCAAAAGAGAATGACTATGCAGGGAGGAGCTCTGGTTCCACAGGTTTTTGAATTTTGATTTACAGTAAGAGCTCTTCCAAATACTGTCATTAAACTAACAACTCTGAGAACCTCTCAAAAACAGAGTGAAATTAAGATGCATCCTTTGTGATTAATCGTATAGATAGTTTGTTTCAGCAAAAGCTTGCTTTATCTTTATTTTCACATTGTATCCTGCTTACGCACAATTGCGTAGGTGGATGGGAAGAATGTAAATTCCTGAAACTCTCAAAAAACACAGTGAAATTAAGATGCATCCTTAAAGGTATATAGGATGACATCAGATGAGAGAAAATACAAAACACTTAACAAAGAGAAAGTTGGTTTTTAACTGAATGGGCAACACATGGTATTTATACAGAGAAGAACAACTTCAAAGGAAGAATGCTCAATAGAACATCATGTACTGCATTGAAACAGGCACAGTGCATGCAAAGGAGGTAAGAATTGTGGCAAAGCCACCTTCTGACATCCTATTCTTGCAGCTTCTAGGCTTACACCTTGGTTTCCACACTTACACCTACATCCTCAACCAGATCTCAAAAAACTCAAGCTGAAGAGAATTAGAAAAATCAATCTGTATGCATGTGCATTAAACTAAAACCATAAGAATTTATACTCACAGGCCATGGCTGAAGATTTTTTAGACCTTCTTCTACTTTTTCAATATCTGCAAATTTTGTAGCTCCATCTGCATCGACCATAAGAATTTTTTTCCCCCGAGAACTAAAGACACCCTGCAATCAAAATAGTCATTAAATATCAACACCTTTGAAATCAGTATTTATCTTAAGCTAGCTACAAGACACCCAGGAAAACCTAATGAAGCAACTACAACAGTGGTATGGCAAAGATTCAACACAACAGGTGAGTCCTAATATTCTGCTACTAATAACTTATCAATTTATATTGCAATATAGACCCAGCGACACACAATGCATGAACATGAAAGGTTAACAATCCCTTCTCCAGAGAAGCTTGCAAACTAAAAGCTTTACAAACCAAAATCCCAAGAGACAAGAAGTTGCTACAGTCAGCTATACAGGGGAGCACAAAGAAGCAGTGATTAGCAGCTGCCGCTGCCCTAGGTAGCTTTACTTTGTCATTTGGAAAGGAGGATGCAGTGCTATTTTTTATTAACACTGTTTCAAGAGAATTCCAAAGAGAATCTTAAATTAGTTTTGAGTAGTAAGTCTTAAGTCACAGCATCACTGCAAAGCATTTGTGATGCACAGGTCTCGGCTTGTTTTGCCATATTCTTGGTCAGGCATTTTTGCCAATTTTTAAAGGGGTCCAGACAGGAAAACAATTAGCAGTGGGTTTGCCAAAAGTACTGCTGGAACCAAGCATGTGTGACTTTAGAAGAACCTGTCAAGGAAGCAGTAGTATATACATCCACTTTACACTCTGTAGTGCAAAGATGTATCACACACAGAATCTTTCTCCTTCTCTCGGAATAACTTCATAATTACATCCCTTACAAAAGCTCCACACGTTTGAATTTAGTGTTCTCTCCATTTGGTATAGTTACTTGTGTTCAATAAAAAAATAATTTAAATTAACTTATTAAAGATAGAGCTTAAAAGACAGTCATTGATAACCCATAAATGACACAACCCTTTTTCATAAAAATGTCATTCATTTTAGGAAAAAAATGTTCCTTCTAAATGTGTAACAGCTGTTTTATTTTTAGAACATGATGATTTTATGATAATATCTGTGTGAAAATTAATATGTAAAAGCATAAATGGTGCTGGTTCTGCTATCAAATGCAGGTGATATCCGTGGGCTCCAGTGAACACAAACTTTGCTGCACGAGATTGTTTGCTAGCCATTTTTAAAACCACAACCATGACATGGAAAGCGATGTTTGCAAATATAGCTGTATTTTTTCTACTAAAGCTTTACTTTAATATGTAAAAGGTTACTTGTTTGGTTGCTTTTTTAAATGCAAGCCTATTTCTAAGCGGAACTAGCAGGAACGTGAAATTCAAATCTATCTTTTTTTTTCCCTTCTGAACTCTCATGTAAAAAAAAATAAATAAAAATCTTTGTTGTTGATCTTCCTGTCAAGAAAATACTGTCTTCAAGATCTCATGTGAGGTTATTTTAAAAAGAGCTTTTGCCTTCATTTATAGAACCTGTCCTCAGTTTTCTGGTAACAATTTTGTTAATGCATTGAGTTCAAAATGTCCATCAGCACAACTCTAGCTGCTGCATATTTGGCCACAGGTAGTTCAGACAGAGAAGGAGATGAAAGTATCGATTACCATCCTGACTGCTCCTCCTTTCCCTCGATTTTTTACCAAAGTAAGCACTCGCACTTTGTCGCTTCCATATTTCTTGCAGTACTTCATTGCAACCTGATAAGACACACAAAACCCAGCATAAAACAAAAACAGAAATCAAGTTTACATTTGCTCACCCTTTTTAAAAAAATAATTAATAGCACAGAGCTATAATCATTTCAGGCACCACAAATACATTGCCAGTGTCTGCTGGAGTCTGTTTGGGAAAACAAAAACCAGTTCAGAGTCAACACAAGAGGAGTGAAAGAGCTAGTCATGTTCTATAAGAACAGGGTATCACCCCAAGTAATTCTAAACACCATTCACCCAAGTCCAAAAGCCTCAATACTAATATAATTTATAACATATTATTACAGACCTTTCACACCAATAGTTAATCAAAGAAAAATAATTTTCTACTACTCCTATTTTTCACTTGTCTTTCTGCTATCTGTGGTTTTAAACAAAAATTCAGAGTGATCTAAAATTCCATTCACACTGTAGGAATGTGCACATTTTGTTCCATGTCATGGGGAAGAGAAAGCATGAGTTTTCTCCTCTATTTTTTTCTAAAAGTTATCTGAAGTCCTTGTAAGTCCAGAAGCCCATGGCCATAGTGTGCTCAGTTAATTTAGGAAGAATGCAAAGCATTCAAAAATATATATACAAGCAATCCTTAGTGGACAAGCTTAAGGGAAGTAAAAAGAGCATTCATTTTAGCAGCTAACTCAAACATCTTCTAAGCAGTAGTAAAAAACTCCTCAAGTTGGACAGCCTTTTTTTCCAGTGACATACATCACACTAGCAGAAGAATGCAGAACTGTTTTGAAAACACTACCAGTGGCATGGGGATTTTTAAATGAACAGTGCCGTGAAGGGTACGGGAAAGACCTACACAACATTTCAGCTGTTCTGTCAATCACAGTATAGAACAGTGATTAAAAAAGGCTTTTTAGTCTCCTTAAGTTCACGTTCGCATCACTGTGCACATGTAGAGTATTTCATAAGAAATTTCTTGAAGTTAAGATTAGAATTTTTAGAATCTCAGCTGCAGGAAATGGATGTCACAGCTGCCAATCAATAACAGTAGTATTTGCAAAATAATTATATATGTATGCATGTGTGTTTGTGACATCCACAATGCATACGGGAAAATGACAAAGTATTCAGAAACATGAATTTTAAGTGGTAACTACCTGAAGTACCAAAATATAAATGCAAAACATTGCTATATTCCACAAATACAGTACAGAAATCCGTACCTCTGATTGGTGAGACACTTCTTTTTCTTACCTTTGTAGTTTCATCTTTACTACCATCATCCACCACTATTACTTCATAAGTGAATGAAGGATCTCGTTTCTTAAAAATAAAACCAGAAACAATGCATTTCATCCAATTTCTTAAGTAGGTAGTAGGTATTTCAAACATCAGCATTCTTTTCTCCCTATCAGTTTTTAACTCATCCATGGTTGCCAACAGACACCAATACGATAATGTAAATTTGTTAAGATGGCATAATTAAAGACTTTTGCTGTATTTGATGCGTGATCCATTACATCAGCTTTTCACAGTTTTCCTGAGCTACCATCTGGAACTAAAAAATCAACTTAGTTTTAAAAGATGAAAGCTCAGAACAACAGCAACGTTAAGAAAACCCAGACAAAACAAAATCTGCAAACTTTCAGAATGGACTTCTTACCCAAGAATAGATGCTTAATAAATTTGTTGGGACAAACCAGGGTTTAGTTTAGAAAGCTAAACGTATGGTTAATCCTTAATTTCTGTCCTGGAAAGATATCAGGCACACAAAGATTTTTTTCTCATGTAGTAGTATACTAAATTTTTACTTAATTTAAAAATATTTTCCAGCATTCAATTTAAAAATATCTGATAAGAGACAGAAACATTGCTTCTAAGTGGCTAAATAACAGTGTTTTAATGTACACCAAAACAACAACGTGAGTAGATCACTGACTTATTATACATAATGCATATAAAAATAACGAACTTTGAATGGAAAATGAAAATACCTGTCTTTTTTCTAGATAATCCAAAGCTTCATCCATCATAAGAGGTACTAAAGAAAAGGTGGAGGAGGTCAGGTTAGTATATGGTAGCAGGCAAAGCACCAAGAGCGCCTGCACAAGCAAGATGAAAACCACCACAAAGCAAAGCTGAGCAAATGCCCTCTTGCATACAACACTACCTTCAGTAAACAAGCTTAGCACCTGCAACTCTTAAGTCTCATCCTTTCTGAATGCAAAAAGAACACTGAAGAAAATCACACATGTAAGACATGATAAAAAGATTTCTTCTGAAGAATAAACTTTACATTTTGAAATACGTATCTACACAACACTAAAGGAACAAAAATAATTATTGTCCGTAACTGACCCTGCAAACCAGCACTGACTTTATCTATTTAAGCAACAAGAGAAATTCCTAATGCTAGTCAATAGCATGACTCTTACTAAGGCTGCTGGGCCTGATACTTTAGCCAGAGAATAGACATTACTTTTGCAGCTGATTTATCTGCAGGTTAGAAAGCCATTCAACCTTACAGTTGTTGTTGCACTGCATGCTCACCCCTGAGCACATCTCAGGTCATTATTCCATCTCCAAAGAGAGGGACAACTAAATGAAAACCACATGAAGCTTACTGAAAACAGGTGTACGAGAACCAGGACCGAGGAATACACTAGACGTGAGAAAGGGCCAGGCCTACCTTGTGTCCAGATATACTTCGTCAACATCTCTCTTCAGGGGATCCCAAACAGCTCAGTATTTTCACTCATCAAGAAAATGAATGACAACATGTGCTGTCAAATCAACCCCATGTACAGCTTTAGAGCGTGATTATTTCTACTGCATCTGAAAGCTTTCGCTTTTTAGTATCAGATGCTCACATATACGGCCAAGTCAGAGACCTGTGAGATCATCCTTTTTTTCTGCTCGTCTGAAGCTGCAGCTGTTGTGTACAGAGCGGGAAGCTCTCAAATCAATTTTAAAAAGTCTTTTTCTACTTCTATCCTTACAGCATTTACATAGGCAATGAGCAGCCATTCTCCTGGACTGCATTAAAATAAAGCAGTTCCTTACAAATGCCCCTTGCTATTTTTAGCAGCAGAAATCAAGTTACACAGTGTCTTAATTTTGAAATTCAATGTACTTGGACTATTTTCTAGAAACTGTGTCCAAATCAGATACATAATCTGGCCTGCCAGAATCTACTGCTAACATAAACTGACCTCTGCATTATTAAAGCAACAACAGATAGAGTTCCTTCTCTTTCTCAAAACAAGAAAAATCTTACATCGGTCTTCCTCATTGTACGAAGGCACAACAACAGAGAGTTCCCTGGTAGGGGAATCATGGATACTTGGCACAGATTCTTTCCTGCCTTCAGCATTTACAAAGAATTTCTCTTCTTCATGTCGGTGAAAGGCTGGCATTTTTCTGGCAGTTACGTGAGCAATCAAACAAATCTGTGATGCAAGAGAAAAAGAAATGAGAAAACGTCATTCAGCACTTTATTAAAGGTTTACCTAACTGTTGAATGTGCTGCAAGGGGCAACCAGCTATACTCCAGTAATGAGGTGGGTCCTTCATCCACTGACCAAATCGCAGGACCAAAATCTTCTCATGCCATTTGATGACACAGTTTCACCCTCTCTGGCCACTGCCAGCATCACAGGCTTTTAACTCCAAAGCATGTAGATGCCTCCAAAGTGGTGGCTCAAGCCCCGCTGCCCCTTCCCTGAGTAACCTCTACCACACAAGCTGGCGCTGCCTCTGATCCTGCACAGAGCCACCAAAATCAATGGCACTACTCAGGATCAGTCCTGTCCATATGTGCTTGCAAAACTGAGGCTCCGGTCAACTTTATGCATAGCTAAAATAAATCTGTGGAACTTGGGATTTGGGAGCAGGAGTACTTGGGAACACCTTATACAGGGCACTTACACCACTGTTGGTGGTCAGTGGAGTATCACTCTCCACGTGTCAAACTTCTACACACTCGCACGTTATTTCAGTCACTCGGAAAAGTACAGGATTCCCACCAAGTGGTCACTGTGTGAGCGTATTACGGGGATATTTTACAAGACGCGCCGTGAGAGCGAAACGCTCGTTTTCGAGGCGTTTCACCCCACGCCTTGCGAAAACACGTTCCCCACAGAACACCACACGCAAGCA